CCGCGGAGCGCGTGAGTCAGGACCCAGTGCCGGCCTGCCGCAGCCCCGGGCATGTTCCGAGACTTCGGGGACCCCGGGCCCAGCGCGGGGTCGGCCGGCGCCTATGGCAACCCGCCGCACGGCCCCGCCTCGGCGCAGGCGGCCACCCAGCAGGTGAGACGGGGCGGACAGCGCCCGGCACGCCGGGATCCGCTTCGGGACGGGGACCGGAGAAGCGCCAGGGGTGGAGGGGGGGTCATTCCCGTTGTCCAGGCGCCAAGTGCGCTCCAGGACCCAGGAGCTGGGGAGACGCGCGGGACCACCACCCGAGGACGTCCCCTGCGGTCAGCCCCCTTCCTCGCGCCGCCGCCGGCTGTCATTCTCCCGGTCCCTGGACCCTCCTTCCCTCCTGCCCCCTTCCAGGGGGACACTTGGGTTAGCCGCCGTCACCCCGCTGGATCGGAGGGGCGCTGTCTCTGGGCACTGGGAACTCGGTGCTGCCGGCGGCCGTGCGTCTGTCGGTGTGTCTGGCCCTCCCTCCCCAACTCGCCCGGGACACGCTCCGCTCCGGGGTCTGCCGCCCGTGCAGTGGAGTCTGGTGCGCTCTTGGAGACCCGCGTGCAACCCCCGTCCCCGACGGGGCCGCGGAGCCCGCGAGGTCTCGGGACCTCGGGATGCGCGCAGCGTCACCGCCGCGGACAGCGCCGGCGCCCCGACCCTCCGCTCCAACGGCGGCGCGCGGCGCCCCTGCCGGCGGGGGGGACCCCCAAAGGGAAGCTACAGGTGCCCACTTCCTGTCAAGGGGCTGCGAGCGAGCACGTGTCGCCAGGGGAGGGAAGGAGCGGGCGTCCGTTCCGCCGAGTCACGGCGGCCGAGTCACGGCGGCTGAGTCACCCCCGGCGCCCCTCCCTTCCTGGCCCGGAGCACCCGGGGGCCCGACTACCTCTGAGCAGGCGATGCTGCCGCCAGCGGTACCTCTGGCCCGCAACTGGGGTTACCGGGCCACTGGGCCAGCAGCCTGAGCCAGGCCACCGCTGTCGGGACTTGCCTGGGCTTGCGGAGAGCTTCCCGGACGACTGGGCGGCCCACACCCAGGGCCCGGCTCTAGGTCTCGAACTCAGTTCTCCTCCCAGAACAAAGAGCCCTTGGCCCAATCCATTGTTAGGATCGCCGGGCAGAAATTATCTCAGAAACCCTTGGCCTAGTATTTATCTTGTGTGGTGTGCCCGGGAAGGTGCTAGCCTGCCCCACCTCTTGGAGCGCCTCCCATCTAAAGCCCCCCATGGATCTGTGCCAGAAAGGAGTCAGGGCAAGTCACTTAGACACTAGTTTCCACGTTATTAAAAGGTCCTTCCGAGGATCTGTTAAATGGTAGACTCCTGGCCTATGGCTGTTATAAATGAGGAAACTGAGGCATGCTGAAAGTAAATAGCTTCCCCAGGGACACACCGCCAAGAAGCAGGTGAGCCAGGCTTAGGGCAGAGATGGCCTGAGGCCAGCCCTGTGTCACATTCCCCTGAGCACCGGGTGAGTGCCACTTACCAAGCTGTCACCGGGTCCCTCACTTGATTCTCACAGCCACCCTGCGCTGGGAAGTGTGGCAGCCTGGCAGGGTACAGGGGAGGGGGAGGACAAGACTGGAGCCTGGCCACCTAGAGCAGCAGTTCTTAACCTGTGGGTCTAGACCCCTTTGGGGGCCTGAGGACCCTTTCACAGGGGTGGCCTGATTCATAACAGCAGCAACATTACAGTTAGGAAGTAGCAACGAAAATAATTTTTGAACATTCATGTTATGGGGGGCTCTTACAACTCTTGCTACAAACCATACATCAATTGTATCCGACTTTCGTGCATATACTCCATCGTTCTTTTCTAGACATTTACTTTCCATTGAGCCCTTGGGATCAGCTGCTCCTTTTTTTCCCTCCCTTCCCCACCCCCAACCAAGCCTTCCTGGCCCCCTGGTTGATTGTAGATTGTCAATTATTTTCAAATCTCACTCAGACCCCTGTCTCCCTTCCCCTCTGGTTTCTATTGTTCTTCCCCCTGACTGGGGGTGTGTGATTGTGTGCCATTCATTGTGATCGGTGCCCCCTCCCTCCCCACTTCCCCCTACCCTTTTGGTATCTCTATTCCCACTCCTGTTGCAATGAAAATAATTCTATGGTTGGGGGGGGGGGGTCACCACAACATGAGGAACTGTATTAAAGGGTTGTGGCATTAGGAAGGTTGAGAACCCCTAACCTAGAGCCTGGGCTCACTTCTCACTTAGCCAGTGTATGTGCAGGCAACTCTTGCCCTGACTAGACAGGAAGAGAAAGCCAGATCTGCCCTCCGAGGGCTGTGGTGCAAAGCATATGTATCAATGTCAGGACAGTGCCTGGCAGGCAGGTCACACCTTAGACATCTTCGCTGGAATGGGAAAACAGAGGCACAGAGAGGTTATGTGACCTGCACAAAGTCACACAGCACCCGAGATGGGATTTGCCACCCAGTCAGTCAGCTGGGCTCTTTCTGGTCTCCTAGAATCAGCAGCTGCTTTGGGGGTGGATGGCAGCGTAGCTTCTGGAAGCCACTAGCTGCCACTTAACCCTTATCCCTGGCTCTCCATGTCTCCTCCCCCAGAAGTTCCACCTTGTATCAAGCCTCAACGCCCTGAGCAGCAGCCAGGAGCTGCAGTGGATGGTGCAGCCTCACTTTCTGGGGCCCAGCAGCTACCCCAGGTCTCTGGGCTACCCTCACTTTAGCCCCTCGCTGCCCCGACCAGGCGTCATCCGGGCCTTGGGCCCACCTCCAGGAGTGAGGCGCCGGACCTGTGACCAGGTAAGGAACAGAGGGGCTGGGTCCTGCTTCTGATGCCCACAGGGCTGCTAGGGAGCTGAGGACAAGCTCCTGCCAGCACGGGGGCCACTTGGAAGGCGGGAAGGCTGGCTCACTAGCAGTATTTCCCAAGGCAGAGGACGATTGGAGCCCTTGGCAAGGTCACTGCTGCTCAGGGAAAGGTTGCTGGAAGAGGGGAACATGTGTGCTGGAGCCCAAAGCCAAAGTCACTGTCGTGGAGCCTACAGGACCGTGAGTTTCTGAGGCTGTAACTCTCTCCGGGAGTAGAAATCCTTGTCTTTCTCCTGAGAAGCAGCTGGTGGTGGTTAGCAGCCCAACATGTAACCACTGCAGCACACCACCACCCTGGCTCTTGTGTCAGCCTAGAAGGGGGTTCAATCTCAGGCTAGGATCTCCGTAGGCAGAGAGGAAGGCAAGGTAAAGCCCTAGGAGGAAGGAGGGGCTGACTCCAGAAGAAAGACAGGGGTGAGGAGGCACTCAGTAAATGGAGTGGACCCCAGGGTGCCACCCCCCACCCACCCCGCCCCACACACACTGATGGGCAGAGCAAAGGGCTGACGCCTCCAGGCCTCTGCCCAGCTTCTGAGAGAGAGCAGAAAAGAGAATTCCCTGCGGTGACTCTCTGGGCCTCAGTTTCCCTATCTCACTGAATGCTTATCAAAGCCCTGTGGGGAATGGACTCACGTTCTCCACACGTTACAGTGGAGGAAACAAAGGCACAGAGGAGGACAGTGACTGGCCCGAGGTCACCCAAGTAGTGAACAATGAGTCCAGGTGTGTCCAACCTCAAAGGCAGTTCCCAGCCACAATGCCACAGGTTCACCTGAGCAGCTGCCAGGAAGCTTGAAGTCCTTCCCAGAATAAATCGATGTGAGAGGGGGCAAGGGCTTTAAGGGTTAATAAAAAGAGCCTCTCGCCTCCCCAGCCTGGGAGTGAGCTGGAGGCTTGAAAGGTTAGTAAGAGTTAGGGGTTGCTCCTCTGTCCTCTCCTTAGGGTGTTTTGATCTGTGAGGTGAGGGGAAGTTTGCAAAGCTTGTGCCAATTAACTGCTGGGTAGAGTATGAGGTCCTAGGAAAGATGTGGGATGGGCCAGGGATGAATGTTCTCAGAAACAGAATGGACAGGGACCAGAGTGAGGCAAGCCAGGGGTCATGCCATTCTCTCCTGGACTCCAGCTCTGGCCCGAGGTTGACTCTTTGTCCCTAAGCACTCTGAGGTGTCCCAGGTTGGGGCTGAGAATGGGTCCTTTGGGGGATTGGTCTCCATCAGCCAGCCAATGCCAACTAGAGGGTGTGGATTCTAATTCCTGCGCAGGGACCTTACAGAGGAATTTACCCTTCTGGAGTTTCTGGGACTCACATGGCAAGTGGGGGTGAAGAATCAGGTGAAACCCTTAGCTAGCAATTCACTTTTGTTCCTGTGTGTCCTTGAATTGATTCACCTCAGTGATCCTCATCAACTAGAACTGTCTGATGGGGTTTCCCAAGCTGTGAATTTTGAAGGAGTCAGAGTACCAGGTCTTGTCGCTCATGGGTGGACTTGAACTGAGCCCTTAGATTAGCAGCCAAGCTCTTTAGCCACTACTCCACCAGGGCTCCTGTATTGCTACCAGTCGTTAATTCATAGTGACCCTATAGCAAAGGTAGCACTGACCCATAGGGTTTCCAGGCCTGTAAATTTTGACTGAAGCAGAAGTGCCACATCTTTCTCCCCACAGACAAGGGGCTGGTGGGTCTGAACTGCCCACCTTTCAGTTAGCAACTGAGTCCTCAGCCAGGGCTTAGCCAGGGCTCCTCTGCTTTAGCAGAGTACCAAAAACCAGCGGGAGCAAGATGGGACCGTCAACTCCCCTAAAGTTGTCTCTGAAGCTCACGGAGCCTGTCTGCCCTGTCCTATAGGGTAACTGAGTGGGCAGGGGTTCCGTGACAGTGATACCAGACCAAACTCAAGGGCATCCAGCTGATTCCTCGTCTGAGAGACCCCATAGGACAGATAATGCCCCCGTGGGGGTTTCATCTTATTTGTTTGTTTTTTTTAATTAAAACGGTTTTATTGGCATATGTGATAGGTTTATTGTGCCAACCTGGTCAAGAGGAACATGTGGGATTAATAAGGTCACAGTTTGATCAGAGGGCAAAGAGATAAATGGCTTGGCAAGCCCTGTCTCTCTCTCTCTCTTGCTCTCTGGTGATTGGACCAGCGTGTGGCTGCTTAAGCTAGTTCTCTGCCTCAGCTTGTGAGCTACACTACCTGTGGGACAGCTGACCCGTGGGTCACGTCGCTAGAGCTTGAGGTTCCTTTGAGACCTGCTTTGCCACACTGCTGGTGTATCCATTGTGAGAGTGTAAATCTTCATGGGAGCAGACAGCCTTACCTTGCTCCTGCTATCCCAAGCCCAACCCAAACTCACTGCCATGCACTCTGACTCATAGTGACTCTCTATACAGTGGTTCTCAACCTTCCTCAGGCCGCGGCCCTTTCATACAGGTCCTCATCTTGTGGTGACCCCCCAACCATCAAATGATTTTCGTTGCTACTTCATCACTGTCATTTTGTGACTGTTATGAATCGGGCGACCCCAGTGAAAGGGCCATTTGACCCAAAAGAGGTCGTGACCCACAGATTGAGAACCACTGCTCTCTGAGACTGTAACCCTTTATGGGACAGCCTCACCCTCTCCCACTCTCCTGCAAAAGTAAACAAACTCACTGCCAGTGAGCTGACACCAACCCACAGCGCGGCGACCCTGTAGGACAGGAAGAACTGCCCTGTGGGTTTCCGAGCCGGTCACTCTCCAGAAGTGGAGGGAAGCCTGGTCCTCTGCACAGGGGCTGGGATAGCGGGTTCCTAGTAAACTAGAACGTCCGCTGCAGTACTCACTGCCCCCCTCTAGTGTCCACAGTCCATAGGGAGGAGGTTTGCTTATGGAGATTGGGAAATGAAGAGGGTCCAGGGGAAGGGGAGGGAAGGGGGGCCCTGGCCCAGGTCTCAAAGGAGCCCAGCCCATTTCTGGCTGGGGGTGGGGTGGGGTGTGGGAGAGGCTTCCTGGAGTTGGGGGCATTTTAGCTGAGTCCTGAGCAATGAGGAGCGGCCTTTAAGGGCATGTGGAGGGGGGCTTACTTGGTGAGAGAATTCCTAAGAGGCCGAGGTGGGGGGTCAAGCCTCAGGAAAGCTGCCTGCTCAGCGCGAGAGCGGGCGCCCGACGGTTGTGGGTAGCCTCTAAACCCTGCCCTCCGCCCCCGTGGGCACCAGAGGCGCCTCACCTTCGACCCCTCCCCTGCACCCCACCAGATGAGCCCCGAGGAGGAGGAGCGCCGCAGAGTGAGGCGAGAGCGGAACAAGCTCGCGGCCGCCAAGTGTCGGAACCGGAGGAAGGAGCTGACAGACTTCCTGCAAGCTGTGAGTCCGGCCCCCCATCCTCACCCCCCAGCCTTCGAGGGACGCTCGTGGGGACCAGGGGAGCCCGAATCCCTAACGGAAGGGGAGTCCTTCAGGGAAAAGGGCGAAGAGAAGCGAGAGAACCTTCGTTGCAGTGCACCTGTGTACCAGAGACCAATGCGGTCCCTGGCTCTTCCCTAAGGTTAACGAGGGCTGGTCTCGGAGCAGGGCGCTGGCCGACCCCGCCCTGGTAGAACGCCCCCAGGCCCGATGGGAGGCGTGCCCATTTCTCCCACGGCCTCATGGGAGTTGTAGTCCAGCCCTACGCGGGGGGGGGGGTTTCCAACTACTCCATCATCACCACCACCGCCGCGCCCCCAAGCTGCAGCGCATTCCGCCCTCCTCTTCTTGACTCCCCTCCCGACTCTCCACAGGAGACCGACAAATTGGAGGATGAAAAGTCGGAGCTGCAGCGAGAGATCGAGGAGTTGCAGAAGCAGAAGGAGCGCTTGGAGCTGGTACTGGAAGCCCACCGCCCCATCTGCAAAATCCCCGAACAGGCGGAGGAGGAGAGCGGCGCCGAGGGCCCGAGCGGCTCAGGCGCTACCACCAGCCCCCCGGCCCCCTCTCGCCCGGTGCCTTGTATCTCCCTTTCCCCGGGGCCGGTGCTGGAACCCGAGGCTCTGCACACTCCCACGCTCATGACCACACCCTCCCTGACTCCGTTCACCCCAAGCCTGGTCTTCACCTACCCCAGCACCCCAGAGCCCTGTGCCTCGGCCCATCGCAGGAGTAGCAGCAGCAGTGGGGACCCATCCTCTGACCCTCTGGGCTCCCCCACGCTCCTTGCTCTGTGAGTTGCTCCAGCCTCCTCCCTGTAGTCAACACCCCCCACCCCGCTCCCCTCCCTCCTCCACTGGTCCAGCTGGCCTGGACCAAAGTCTATTCCCAACACCAGCAGAGACATCTCCCTCCCTCCAGATGAGACTCAACATTTTTGCTTCAAGAGGGAGCCAACTTGGGGCCACTAAAGCTGTCCCTGGTTCCTCATAAGATGGCCCCTCTGCCACAATTTGCACGGACATGAGACAAGACTATTTCCTCCTGCTTGGGCCAGAGACCTTCTGGCTGTCCAAAGAAACCGTGTAGAGTCTTTGAGGCCCTCGGGAGCCCTAACCTCTTCCAGATCCACCCCCACAGTCTGTCTCCTATCACCCTCTTCTGATCACTCACCCAACCCTACTTCCTACAGACGTTGTGGCTGTACCAACCTAGAACACTAACTCACCCAGCCCCACTGCCAGTAGCACCAGCTGATTGGACCAAAGCATTTTGCCAGCCCCTCCAAAACAGCCCTTCCAAAACAGCCCTTCCAAAACAGAGGGTGTCAGAGGCTTGGTGATGAGCTGACCTGCAGCCCCAGCTCGGAGAGGCCTTTAGCTCCAGGAAACCCAAGCCCACCCAGCCAGGGTAGCTGCTATTTATTTTCCTAAAGAGAGTATTTTTGTAGAAACCTGTCAAATGGAATAAAAAGCCTTGAAGCGCTGGTCTGGGGTGTTTCTTTGGCTCCCAGAGCTAACGGAGGGAACCTTCTGGAGCAGGGAGCACTAGGCTCCGAGCTCAGCTCCACCTACTCTCAGCCATGACCTTGGGCAAATCCTTTGCTATCTCTGAATTTTGGCTGCCCGAAAAATGGGGTTACATCTGCTTGGCCTCATCTCCTGGGCTGCGGAAGAAAGGGGCCAGAGAGTCTCCTCCTCCAGGCTCCCCCCAGTGCTGGCCTGTCCAATGCCCCTTCCAAGCCTCAAACCAATGAGTTGTTAGTCTCCAACACCTGCTTCCTGCCCCATTGTTTGGACAGGAAAGTTAGGAAGTCACTGCAGGGTCGGTATCAGGGCCTAGCCCACAGCCCCACGAAGGAAGTCGGTGGCGTGTGTCACCATCCCCCACCCCACCCCAGCCTCGAGGCAAAGGGGATGCCAGTTACCTTAGCTCTACAGCCCTTCCGAGGGGGGTGGGAACCCTGTCTCAACACCCCTGCCTTCGACCCAGCCCCCCCGCGAGTCCCAAACACACCGAATAAGCCGTAAGCCTTGGGGCCCGCTTCCGACCCAGTTTATTCGTCCCCACCCAGCCCCCGGAGGGTCATCCGTGCCAGCCTCCAGTCCCATTGTCGCCCCACCCGTGAGAGTGAGGGGCTCCCTTCGGTGTCAGAGTTTCTGAGTCCATGCCGGCCGCCTCTCGGGCAAAGCCGGGGCGGCGTCCTGGTCCCGAGGTCCACCGAAATCCCGGCGTGCAGGGAGCAATCCGGGCGGGCTCCGGTGGCCAGGAAGCTGCGCCCTCAGTCATCAGGGGAGCAGGCCAGGGGCAGCTGATCCGGGCTGCCCACGCTGCCGGTGCTGGAGCTCCCATCGCCCAAGTCGCGGGGCCCGCAGGGGGGCAGGGCGAGCTCCGGGGTCGGCCCGGGGCCGGAGCCGCCAGCGTCACTGGAGCCGCCGCGGGGACCCCACTCTTCGCCCAGCGCCAGGCAGAGCTCCTTAAGTGCCAGGTTCTCCCGCAGCAGCTCCTCCTGGCGGCCCTCCAGCTCCGCCAGCTTCTGCCAGCAGCCGCCCAGGTCCTCGCGCACAGCCCGGGACGCCTGGGTCCCGAAGAGCTGCCACTGGCGCGCCGCGCGCCGCCCGCGCTGGCGCTCCGAGTCCAGGAAGCAGCAGAGGTCGCGCAGCTCGCGGTTCTCAGCCTGCAGGCGCCGGTTGAGCTGCTTGAGCTCGCGGATCTCGCCCAGGTGGCCCTGGAGCTGCCGATTCACCTCCTGCATCAGGCGGCCGCGCTGCACCAGCGCCGCCAAGCGCGCCGCCTCCTCCCGCCGCAGACGCCGCACCAGCTCCTCCTTGCCCAGCGCCGCCATCTCCTCGTCCGTCAACTCCTCCAGGCCGCCCGCCTCGGCCTCCATGGCTGCTTCGACCACTGGAGCATCGCCCGCCGCCGCCGCCGCCCTGGAGCCCCGCGACGGCCCGGCGCCGCTCGGGCCCCGGCTCCGGCTCGCGGGCGGCTACCAGTGGCAGCAAAGGCAGTCGCCGCGGCCCGGGGGTGGGCACGCGGCGGGGCGGGTCCTCGTGACGTCGCAACAGGAACAGCCAATCCAAGGGGTTCTCCGCCAAAGGGGCGGGGCCTATTCTTGGCAGCCTTTCTCCCGCCCACTCCCGACCGCGGTGGCCCTGACGCCAGTCTCGCAGAGGAGCATCCTCCGCATCCTCATCCTCCGCGCCAGTCTCAATCCGCAGCTGGGCGCTTCGCTCCTCCAGCTAGAGCCTAAGCCTCTGCCTCCTGGGGAACCGAGACTGTGGCTTCGCCCTCCCGGGTCCGCTCGGGGAAGGACGGAGCCCAAACTGATCTTGAGGTCTCACCTAGCTCAGTTTCAGCTGGAGTCTCGGCTCCTTGAGCATCGCTACCCGCTCCTCGGAACACAGTCGGCTCTGAGTGCCCTGCCAGCTTCCCGTTCTACCACGGAGTGCTTCCTTCTCAGGGGTGGGGTGGGGGTGGGGATGGGGGTGACGCTCAAAAGGACTCGTCTATTCAGTGTTTTGTGTGTCAGGCCCACGCAGCAGAAATAAACTTGACCAAGATCCTAATCCTGTTCTCAAAGAAGTCGCAATTGACCTGGCAGACTATTAAAACAAAAAGCAAATTGTGTGTGTGTGTGTGTTTTGAGGCGGGGGCGGACGGGGACGGGACTGTCCGGAGGACTTTCAGAAAGATTTCGCAAGAGAAGCAGCAGCCTAGGGGCTGAAAGATGCATAGGAATTGGTCAAGGAAAGAGAGAGGTGTATCAGGGATTGGGTTGCTCGCTGCTTCACGGCACAAGGAACTACACTGGCGCTTGAGAACGCCTAGGTGCTTTAGCAACAGTGAAACTCGTTAGATTAAAAAAGATATATATATATTTTTTTAAGATAGCTGCAGGAAGAACGAGGCTAGAGAGCGAGAAGGTTGCAAAGGAAGTCAGTCTAAAGGTCAATGCCAGACTGGGGAGTTCCCACAGACCCGCAGGATTTTAAGCAGAAGAGTAACGTCGTCAACAGTTCCTTGGTTCAGGCTGCTCTGTGTGGGATGGGCTGGGGGGTGCAGGGGAGGCCAGGGAAATTTGTGGTCGAAACCCTAGGAAGAGGGGGTGTCTTAGGGTGAACGGGAGGCTCCTAGCACGGGTCCCTGGAAATCAGGCCACCCACCATTCTTTGAAGAAGAGAGGGTCGAGCCCTGGGATACTCCTGTACTTAGGAGGTAGCTAAAAGTGGGGAGGGCCCGCGGAAGATGGAGAAGGCGGGAGAACATCTAGGAGCGAGTGAGAGCACAGTGGAGGGGGCAGAAGAGGCTGGCCAGAGACCTCGACTCGGGCACCCTCTGATAAGCCCGGGTGGAGGGCACCGAGGAGCCAGGCAGCCCCCTTCCCGCCGGTTGGAAGGGTGACTCCACCGCCGGGGCCTCCTCTCCTCCAACTACCCGCGGCCCCGCCCCGGCAGCGTGTCCCGGAAGTGGTCCCTCACTGGCTCCGGGTGCCCGGAGCGGAATCTCGGCGCTCCCGGAAGTGGCCCGGCGGCGGCGCGCCCGGCCGGGGCGGTGCTCGCTCCTGCTTGGGGCGCAGCTTCGGCGCCCGGGCCTGGGCGTCGCCATGACCAGCGAGCTGGACATCTTCGTAGGGAACACGACCCTCATCGACGAGGATGTGTATCGCCTCTGGCTAGATGGCTACTCGGGTCTGTGGGTGGGATCTCCTGGGGGCCCCCTCGGGTGCAGCGGGGTGGGAGAAGGGGCGGGGCCAGGGCTCCCTCTTCCCACTGGGAAGGGGACGGGGCGAGCGGGGGGAGTAACCAGAGTAGGAGGGTCGAGGCTGGGATCCCTAGAGAGCCTCTGGGGGCCCCAATGCCGGCGCCTACTCCCCAGTGAGCGACGCGGTGGCCTTGCGGGTGCGCTCGGGCATCCTGGAGCAGACCGGCGCCACAGCAGCCGTGCTGCAGAGCGACACCATGGACCACTACCGCACCTTCCACATGCTGGAGCGCCTGCTGCACGCGCCGCCCAAGCTGCTGCACCAGCTCATCTACCAGATCCCGCCCTCCCGGCAGGCGCTGCTCATCGAGAGGTGCCACCGCAGCCCGGGCGACCCTCGGCCTATTTCACTGGCGGGAACTGAGGCCCTGGGAGGGGGCGGAACCTAACCCTGCAGGCCCCGGGGACCAGCTGGGAGCCGAGGGAGCCAGGAGCGCCTTTCCCCTTTTGACGGAGGGGCTTCGGTGTACCTCTCCCGGGTGCATGCAGGTACTACACCTTCGACGAGGCCTTTGTTCGAGAAGTACTGGGCAAAAAGCTGTCCAAGGGCACCAAGAAAGACCTGGACGACATCAGCACCAAGACAGGCATCACTCTCAAGAGCTGCCGAAGACAGGTGGGCACTCACGCCCCTTCTGTCGGCAGCCTTCCCGGCACCATCCCTTTGGCCACTGAGCACCCCCTCCTCAATCCATGACCACAGTTTTCACGCCTAGCCTCCTCTTTCTGCGCCCCTTGAAATGCATCCCCTATTCTGGCCAGAATGACCTTCCCAAAGCCCAGTCCTGCTCAGGACTTCCTCACACCCATCAGTCACCGTTGGCACCTGCCAGTTCTTGGACAGCACACCTGCCACGCATGCGTTTTGAACTTTAGGCTCCTGTGAGCCACTGGCCTCGGACATTTCCCTCCCTCCCAGGTTTCCTTTTCCTCGTGTTGCTGCTCCTACGTGGAAGGCACTGTTTGGGGCCAGTTCTGCCGCTTCGATCCAAAGCAGGGTGTCTGGTCTGATGACACCGCAGCCCTGACTCTGGCCCCTCCATGCCTTTGCCTTGTGTCTCCCATGAGCTCCCTGAGGACCTTTAGTATATCTTCTTCTCTGGGCTCTGGATCCCCCAGCACATCCTGGGGGATCGGAGAGCATGGAGCTAGAATAGGGTTGGACTTAAAGGCAGGATCGAGTGAATGCTGAGGCAAGGTGGCAGAAGGTGGTAAACACCCATTGAGCTGATGTTAGCCGTTTCTCCGGTCAGTTCCAACTCCCGTCTGTTTTTTTTTTTTTATTCAGTCTCTGTGGAGACCGTCAAAAATTGCCAATGCTGACTATATTTCAAGTCGTCATGGCGGGGTAGTGGGAAAAGTTTTCAATTAGCAATAATCACACCACGGTAGACCTCATTGGCTACGATATTGCCACTGTGCTGCTTTTCAAGGTTGTGAGCTTCCGGAAGCAGATTGGCCAGGCCTGTCTTCCGAAATGCCCCTGGGCAGGTTTGAACTGCCAACCTTTGGTTAATGGCTGAGGGCATAACCATTGGCACTCCCTGGGGGCTGTGTGTTGAGTTGAGAGGAGACCCTAAGTTGGATTAACAGGTGCTGATTTTGCTGGGTTGTGTGGTCAGGGCATAGCTGGGCTGCAGTAAGTTGTTCATTGGCTGAGTGTCGACCCTGTTTCCTCCCTCCACTACCCTGCAGTTCGACAACTTTAAGCGAGTCTTCAAAGTGGTGGAGGAAATGCGGGGCTCCCTGGTGGATAATATTCAGCAGCACTTCCTTCTCTCCGACCGGCTGGCCAGGTGAGGGGCTGGGCAAGGAGCCGCTGCCCGCCTCCCGTATCCCTCCAACCCCCACCCCCGACCTGTGCTGGGAATACGGTCATGTGGGCCATGTTTTGAACCAAGCCAACCTGGGTTCTAATCCAGCCTGGCCATTGGTCAGCAGGGTTTTGGCTGTGAAGATAAACTCAGACGCTGCCCGTAAAGCCCTGGGCACTGCACCTAGCACTGCCATCGAGTCGATAACACATAGCCATCCTTTAGGACAGGGTAGAACTGCCCCTGTGGGTGCCCGAGATGGTAACTCTCTAAGAGGGTAGAAAGCCCCACTTTAATTCCTCGGAGTGGCTAATGGTTTCAAACTGCAGACCTTGAAGTTAGCAGCCCAACACATAACCAGTAAGTACATGATGGTCATCTTGTTATGGTCTCTCTTGGGTCCCTTAGGAAGCCTGGGCAGAGACCATCCCTCGCCCAGATGAGAAGTGAGAGTAGTCACCAAGGAAGTTAGAGCAGACAGGGACCAGGGCTCGAATATCTAGCCAGACTGGTAGGGGGGCAGCTGCTTGCTAAGAAGGCATTTCCAGCGCCCTGGGGCCCTGGCCTGGCTTCACTGCAGGGACTATGCGGCCATCGTCTTCTTTGCCAACAACCGCTTTGAGACGGGGAAAAAGAAACTGCAGTATCTGAGCTTTGGCGACTTTGCCTTCTGTGCTGAGCTCATGATCCAGCACTGGACCCTCGGCGCTGTCGGTGAGCCCCCCACTGAGGTGCCAGGTGCCTGCACCCCCGCACACCCTCTGACTGAGGGCTTCCTTCTGTGAGGTGCCATTCGTCCTCAGTCCGTGGACCCAGAGGTGGTGGGGGAGCCGGGGGAGGTGGCCGTCCTGACTGGAGCTTTGATCACCCCGCCTCCCGGCCCCCAGACTCCCAGGTGGATGACATGGACGTGGACTTGGACAAGGAGTTTCTCCAGGACTTGAAGGAGCTCAAGGTGCTAGTGGCGGACAAGGACCTGCTGGACCTGCACAAGAGGTGTCCACAGGAGGGGCCTTGAAATGAGCCCTAGGGGGGCTGGGGGACTCTAGAGCTGACCCTGTTCCTCCGCCCCTCTCCCCCAGCCTGGTGTGTACTGCCCTCCGGGGAAAGCTTGGTGTCTTCTCTGAAATGGAAGCCAACTTCAAGGTCTGTGGCCCAGTCGGGCCCCCAGCCATCTGCCTTATTGCCTCCGGCCAACTCCAGCCATGCCTGAGAGTGGCTGGCAGGTGGCGGTGCTGCCCCCCCCCCCCTCTGTAGGCCTGGGAGGGGGGGTGGCAGTTGGACAGGGAAGAGGTCAGATGTGGGGAAGGGTCTGTGCCTCCCCCAGCCTTTGGGCTCAGTCCCCCCCCCCCCTGGCCCCAAACCACGGAGGGCAGAAGACAGAACTCCCAGGACTCTTGCCCCACAGAACCTGTCCCGAGGGCTAGTGAACGTGGCCGCCAAGCTGACCCACAATAAGGATGTCCGAGACCTGTTTGTGGACCTGGTGGAGAAGGTGAGCGGCCCTGTCCCCATCACCACCCTCAGACCCCCAGTTGGCCGGAGCACATGCTAAATGTCCCCTTGGGTCCCCAGTTTGTGGAACCCTGCCGCTCCGACCACTGGCCGCTGGGTGACGTGCGGCTCTTCCTGAATCAGTATTCGGCATCCGTCCACTCCCTGGACGGCTTCCGGTGAGAGACCCCCCAGCCCTCCCGCCCAAGTGGCCTCGCTGCAGGCTGCCACGTGCCAGGCCTGGCTCTTCAGCATGCTTGGCTCCCACCCTGCCGCCTGGGGCCGGGGACCCCTCTCTCTGTGGGCCTGGCTCCCAGCTGTGAGATCGTGGGTCAATGACTTCGCCTCTCTGCCTGGGTTTCCCTCAGTAAAACCGGGGAGGATGCTTCACTTACGGGGCCTCTAACAAGTGATCGGGGCCGCCACGCCAAGCAGTACTTCAGCCCTCATCACCGTCCCTGTCCCTGCTGTCCTTCCAGGTTCCAGGCCCTGTGGGACCGTTACATGGGCACCCTCAGGGGCTGCCTCCTGCGACTGTACCATGAATGAGGACCCTGTACCCTCCACCGCCTGCCACCCTTGACAATAAAGCTGCCAAGAGTTTGGAGACCAGGCCTTGCTTTGGGGGGTGGTGTGGTGTGTGTGTGTGTGTGTGTGTGTGTCCTGTAAGTGCCGCATGAGGGGTCGGCTCGACACATGTAACAGCCCCATGGAGACCTGGGTCTCTGAGGGAGAAAATGGTATTTGTTCTTATCCCCCAAGCCCAGCGCAGCCAGATCCTCGCAGAAGCCGGGGGCCTGTGGTTCTGGTTTATTCAGGCTTAGTCAGAAGATGGGGAAGACAGGCAGGAGCCTTGGGGTGGCGCCAGGACAGGCAGCTGGCACCACAACAGAAGCGAGCAGAGCAGGGAGGGGAGGGGCGGGACTCTCAGGAAGCGGGAGGACAGTGGACTGGGCGCACAGTTGATTTGCCCAACCGGGCCGTGAACGGGTACTTGGTGATGCCGCAGGCATTACTCCCTCGGTGTAACCGGAAGTAGCCCTAGGAATTAACGAGCATCAGGGCTGGGTGGGACCCAGCCTACCCCGAGCCCCCACCCCTTTGCAGGTCATGCATTCTCACCTCCTCGCCCCAGTTGGGCCCCCAGGAGTTCTTCAGAATCCAGTACGGGATAGGGCGGCCCTGTGTCCCGCCCTGCCGTGTCTCTGTCCATGTCCTCTTGGTTTGACCAAAGCCCATCAGCAGGACCGAGTGGTTCACAAACCGGGGGTCACAGGTGTCGGGCGTGGGCTTGATCACCCCTTTCCGGTATTGCTGTGCGGGAGGGGCCGGAGCTGAGGGGCTGAGCTGGGGCCAATCCCCTCTGCATGCCACCCACCCCCCGCCCCCCCTTCCCGGCTGAAGCCCACCTGCAGCAGCTTCGAGTTGATGGTCACAGTGATAGGGCCGTGGATGGCCAGGTACTGGGCAATTACTGGAGGGAGGGGAGGGGCGACTGGGGATCAGATCAGGCCTGCCCACCCAGCTGCCCCGCCCATAGCACCTGGGCCAAGGACAGGTAGAGTCTTTGCTCCCCTGGCCCCTTCCTTCCCTCTCTGGGCTGGCCTGACGTGCTGCCCACCCACCCGGCCCCATCCCCCAACACCCCGTCCCCGCCCGCCCGCACGCACGCTGCTCGTTGTCCTGTAGCATGATGAAATCCCGGATCCAGGCCACCTTCTTGAAATTGTTAGCCCGGCACTGGTGGGGTTTGAAGGTCCCCTTGAATGGGTACTTCTTCTCGCTGGCTAGGCCGCCTGTGGGGGGAAAGAAGGGAGACTGGGCTCCCAGCCCTCCCCCTTTGCTGTAGCCCAAGCCCCCCACGCTACCCGCCTCCTGCGGTCCACTCACTGTAATTGAGGACAGTCATGAAGGCGTCCCAGACAAAGCCACCAGTGCAGCCCCCACCGCAGCGGTCACAGTCAACCAGCTCTGGGGCAAGAAGGGACAGCTCGGGTGGCCTGGCCCTGGGAGGACACTCACCCCCCCCCTTCCCCAGTCACGCCCAGCCCCCATCTCCCGAGCATACGCTGCACAGAGACTTCCACGGACGTTCTCTGTTCGATGGCCCACAGGGCCTCCACGTTGCCCGCCGCTGCGATGGCCCAGCAGCAGTTGCAGTTCTTCTAGTGGGGAGAAGATGGGGTTGGGGACAGGGTGGCCTTCCTCTCCACTGCCACCGGCTGCCCGCCCCTGGGGTCCAGGAGGGGCCGCTACCTGGTCCCTGACTGATTTGATGATGTACTCCTGCTTCCGCCAGTCACAGGTGGAGGGCGGCAGCTTCTCCCCAGCTTCAGGTCCAAACCCAACCTGCCGGCTCATGTGGAGGGCTGTGGCAGGCACCTGCTGGTGCCCGTACATCTGGCCAAATTCCTCCTCTGAGGACCAACAGGGTCACTGAAGCCACCGTTCAGCGCTCCCCATCGCCCCCTACACCCACACAGCCAGCCCTGTCCCACTCCGCCTGGACCCTCACTGCCGGGGTGTCCTCTCTGAGTCACAGGACAAACGGGGACTGTCCCTTGGGGGCTTCGGAGAATATATGCTTGCAGAAGTAGACAGCTAGTGTTTAGCTGGTGGGTTTGAAGGGCTCTACTCATGCTATGCCCATCAAACCCAAACCAAACTCGGTGCCATCAAGTCACCTCATGGCAGCATGACGGCAGTAGAACTGCCCCCGTGGGAGTGGAACGCTTCACCACTACCACCCCGCCACCCCACCCCCGCCGCAGAGTGACTGGTGGTTCCCAACTGCTGACCTTGCCCAAAGCTTAACCCACCATACCTGTAGCTCCCATGATACCCTGGGAGGCCGGAAGCCTGCCCCACCACAGCCCCCAGGTGGGGATACACACCAGCTCTCTCATCTTCATGCCAGGCTGGGACAAGCGGTATCTCTGCCCCCGCCCCTGGGAGGAGCCCTGGTACCTGTGAGGTCACTGAACGGAGTCACCCCAAACTCAGCTGTGCCCAAGTCCTTGTCCTGCAGCTGCTGAGCCCGGGCCAGGTTTCGGGCAAAGATGTCCACTCGGCGGGCGAGCTCTGGACCAGAGGGAGTAGCCCTAGACTGACTCCCAGCCTCCAGGGCAGGATGCGGCCCCTGACTGGACATCCTCACCCCAAGGCCCTGGCCCCCAGGCTGCACGGCTCACCTCTGGGCCCAGGAAG